CTTTGCATACTTTACGTAATAAATTGCATATGGAAATAATTTGTATAAACAATAGAATTTAAAAGAATTTAGAGTATACAAAGGATACAGGGTAGTTGACATTTAGAACTTTCTAATCTTTTCAGCCACTGCTATTGCCATGTATCTAGCACCATGACATATTCTGAGGGATTTGCAATTGAAAGACAACTCTGTCTTCAAGGGCCTAAAGGTGTTAGAGAAAATGGATTTGCAAACATGAAACTGATTGGAGCCATCTAGATTTGCTTACAATTACTGGCATATGCATATAACGAAGTGACTCTGTTTAGAAAGCAGATAGTGACTCTGCATGCTTAGAAAGGGAGCGATTGATAGCACCTAGGATCAATCAGAAGGCTCCAGGAATGATGGAAAGAGACTTAAGATCTGACGATGTGGTCTTAAGGTGGGTCCTGAAGGATGAAAGTAACTTGATTCAAGGAAAGGACAGACTAGTGAAGCTGACATATTTGGTTTTGTGTTTCTAGAAACTATATTGGGAATTTAGTCTAATAGTTCATCTCCTTGCTACAGTGTTATTTAGTGAGATATCACAAACAATTAGGGAAGTGTTATTTCATGCCATATCCCTGTGGTTGAATGTCCCCCAATGTGGTCTGGGGGAAAATCATGGCTTCCAGTCGGTTAAATGACCAGTTTTTACTATGTACTAGCTTTGTGTCTAAGGGCAGATCACTTACCTTTGTGGCTTAGTAATTGTAAATTCAAAATGATGCAGTACGAAAGCTTTTGCAAGATTTAAAAATGAAGACACAAATGATTGTGAGTGCTCAATGTGTTGTTATTCATGCTAGTGATGTGTACTGTCTTTTGGAAGAACAGTTTATCAAGTATCCTTCTAAAAGAGATTGTTTTTGTTTTATTTTTTTTATTCAGTGTCTCATGTAGCTCAGGGTGGCCACCAATTCCCTGCTGAGGACCGCCCTGTGTGCACAGGAGTTTTGCCTGCATGTATGTTTGTGCACCACTGTGTGCCTGGTGTCTGTAGAAGCCTGAAGAGAGTGTTGGGTCCCCTGAAACTGGAGCTACAGATGGCTGTGAGCTGCCATGTGGGGGCTGGGAATTGAATCGGGTCCTCTGGAAGAGCAGTTAGTGCTCTTAACTGCTGATCGATCTCTCCAGTCCTGATCTTGAACTCTCTATTCTGGTGTTTGCACCTCTCAAGCACTGGGATTACAAGTACATACTACCACATCTGACTTCACTAAATCATTACAAAGAATTTCATATTTGTGTAGTTCCTCATTGAAAATAAAATTTATCCTAAGGAAATAGAAAGACATGGTCAGAATTAAAGATGTATTTTGTTTTAAAACTATGTGTGTATAAAGATAGATATAGATACAGATACAGATACAGATACAGATATAGATATAGATATAGATACAGATACAGATGTAGATATATCATGGGTGTGTAGGTACCTGAGGAGGCCAGAAGAGGGCCTCAGATGCCTTGGACCTGGAATTCGAGGCAAGTTGCCTGATGTGAGTGCAGGGAATGTAATGCATATTCTTTGCAAGAGCAGTGTTGGCTCTTATTCCCTGAGCCGTCTCTCTATTTCCTTTGTTGTGTTACATAGAATAGTGGAGTCACCCCAAACCTCACAAACATCCCAAACCATCCCAAACATCACAAATAGATGACTGGTGAAATAAATTATGATTTACTAAAAAAAAAAGAAGAAATTACAGAGCAACTGAAATGATGTAGAAATCTATTTCTGATGTATGGGGAGAATGAATTCTGAAATCTATGTATATATGATGTTTAGTTATGCAGAAAAAAGGCTAATACACTAAGATGTCATATGTGATTGAACATCAGCCTTTATGTGATTTTTATATCCTTCATTGTGCTTAATTGATTTTTGATTTTTACTTATTTGATAACCTAGATAATTAAAAAATTGAAAATAGTATTGGATCTCTTTAAACATATTTAGTGATGTAGGAGCGTGTTTAAGGTTGAAGAGCAGATTTAAAACTTGTGTGTTATATGATTCTCATTTTGTTGAATCCCTTTTGTGTCTATGTCTAAATTTTTCTTTCATGTTCTGTCTCTAAAAGTAAAGTAGCCAGGAACAGAGATTGAATTAATGTATGCGTCAATGAAAACCAGTACCTTCTTTGTGAGATAAATATCTCACAACCATTTTGACTTTCCTTCATTTTCCTCTTGTTTTGGCAGTTGACTTTCTGGGTTGTATGGACACAAAGTTTAATGGCTGAAAACACCCACCTCTTAGTTCCACCCTTTGCTTGGAACTCAGCACAGGTAGTCCTGGCTAGGCCCTGGGGCTCTGCAGTAGTGAGCAAGTGACACTGATCTTGGAGCATGTCCACTTGGAAGAGACAGTGAACACTATTCGAACAGATATACAATTGCAAATTGTGTTAGCCACTGGGAGAAAAATAACCTAAAATAGTGTATTATATAGAGAAAAATGGGAGGGTGGATCAGGGAATCAGTTCGGATGGGGGTGTTGGCAAAGGCCTCTAATGAGCAAGTGGTGTGTAAAGCCACCTAGGAGGAATGAGTTGACATTAGTCACACAAAACATGGAGCGACAAGAACTCAAGGAAGAGGGTGATGACATACAAAGTTTTCATTAAAAAAGGAATAGATTTGCATAGCAAACGGAGCAAGAGCAACAACCTGTGTGACTGTAGGGTGCGAGGTCAAGCTGGGATAGTGTGGGAAAAAGTTTGGATTTTACTCCAAGGGCAGTGGGCCACAGAGGATTATGGGAGACATCTTAAAAGACCTCGCTCGTAGGCTTCTCCTAGGAGAAACAGGTGGCAAGAGAGAATCTGCATGGTGAGCTGGGAGCATTATGAACCTGTGTGGAGATGGTTAAAAAGTCACACCATCAAGGGGGAGATAGGAGGTAGATTTTGGTGGCTGTGTTTATGAGAGATAGAGGTGGGTCAGGTTAGGCACAGTTAGTATGCTGCTCATCCTTTGTGTGAACCTGGTAGATTGTACAGATGGTCCAATGTTTTATTTAGGGATGGTTATTTAGCATTGGATGTGTTTACTTTGAGGCCTATGTGAGATTCCTCAGTGAAAAAACCTGAGATGGTCTATTACTCAAATGACATAAGCACCTGCAATGGAGATGTGTATTTCAGAATGTTTGGCCTATGGGTAGGTAGTACTGGCAACCATATGGGTAGATGGGGTTGCCCAGGAAGAGGATGTTGAGAGAGTGGGAGAGACTAGGAAGAGGGGGTGGGGACACACACACACACACACACACAGAGAGAGAAAGAGAGAGAGAGAGAGAGAGAGAGAGAGAGAGGGAGAGAGAGAGAGGAAGGTAGTGACTGGAGGGAGTGGAGTAGAAAGAACAGGGGAAGGTATTGAGCTTGTTTGTTTCCTTACAACAAGGAGATTCTAGTTAATGAGTGACTTAATAGACTTCATAAAGAGAGAGACAATAATGACACCGGAGGGACAGCTGGTGGATGGCGGGATTTCATGGTGAACTTGGTGTTTGGGAGCAGGAGGAAAAAGACACAAATCGGCTTTTGTTATCTACTACAAGGGAGTATGTGCTAGACACTATACTAAGTGACTGAAAAATGACTCACTGATATGAGTCTCTCCATTTTACAGATGGGAGACTTGAGGTTTAGTGAGGGTGGGCAACTAGGTCTTGATTCAGAGCCCATGCCTTTCTTTCTCGTACTTAGAGACTTTCCTGTGTGATGGCGTATTAGTTTTCTCCAGCTGCCACAAACCATCACAGATGGAGCTGCTAAAACAACAGACATTTATTTTCTTACAGTTCTGAAGACTTCCAGTTCAAGATCAAGGTGTTGGCAGATTTAGTTTCTCCTGAGGCCTCTTTCCTTGCCTCGCAGATGGCCACTTTCTCGCTTGTCCTCACTCAGCCTTTCCTCTGTGTTCCTGCTTTCCTGGTGTCTCTTGCATGTCCTAATCTTTTCTTACAAGGACACAAGGAAGATTGGTCTAGGAGGCACGTGGCTATAATGGCTTCATTTGAACTTGGTCACCTCTTTTAAAGGCCTTATCTCTTGGTACATTCACTTTTTGAGGTTGGGGTTCAATTATGAATTTTGGAGAACCCACTTTATGACCGATTACTTCTCAGGGTATAAAGCTAAGAGAGGTCACATAGAATGCTCTGAAGGTGTAACTAGAATAGAAGGGAGTGGGAGATTGCTAGAATATGTAGTCCTAAGACCAATTGTATTTGGAGAGGATCACATGCATCCAGTCTGCAGCAACAGTTTGGTACATGTGTAGAGTAAAGCTTCTGTGCTTTGGTGATGTGCTGGGCCATGGGCCACCAAAGCATCATCTCCTGTGTACAAGGTTGAAATGTAAATGAGCTTCACTTATGCTCAAGTAGGAAATACAAGTTCTTATTTGTTGGAGTTCCTTCTGATTATTTTCTTTCCTCCATGTCCTTTTCTTCATTTTCTTTTAAATGTGTGTGGTTGTTTTGCCTAGATGTATGTCAGTGTGCCATGTGCACGCCTAATGCTTATAGAGGCCAGAAGAGGGCATCAGACCCCCTGGAGCGGAGGTTACAATGGTTGTGAGCTGCCGTGAGTGTGCTGAGAATCAGAACTGTGTCCTCTGAAAGAGCAGCCCGGACTCTTAATTGCTGAGTCATCTCTCCAATCCCATGATTATTTTCAAGTAGTTGAAATGAAGAAAATAAAATCTGTGAGGGCTTAAATTTGTTGGTTTCCCAATATAAAAAGTAGTTTGAGCGTTTTTCAACCTGTTCTGTAAACCAGTTTTTCATGATTGTGCACACAATCTTCTCTACCTTTTCCTTTCTTCTTGTCTTCCACCTCCAGGCACTGGTGACATTCTGAGTACTTACTAGGTGTCTGGGATCTAAGACTAAAGAATCCATAAGTACACACACACACACACACACACACACACACACACACACACACACACACGCACGCACGCACGCACGCACGCACGCACGCACGCGCACACACACTAAAGCTGTTAGTAACTGTTAACTCACCGTTCACTTAAGTCTTAAGACCATGTCGGGTACCCACTTAGTACTAGGCAGTGTCTTTATGACTGGGATGGAAACCTAAGTAAGATGCCTCTCAACAAATTCTTAATTTGATATAGGAAAGTAAACAGGTAAGTGAACAGTGGTAACACTGAATATGTATCATACAAAGATCTCCAACAAGGAAGGGGCTGTAGTGTTGTTTGCTTTCCCATGCAAGTTTGGAAACTCGTTGAAGAGAGCTGTTACTGCATTTTAATGACAGTTACTATAAAAAGACACCCATTCATCTTACAAACATGTTTGAATGCTTGTAATCATTGTGTAATGATGGTTTTAAAGCTCTTGAGTTCTGAGCAAGCCACTGAGTTGGGGGATCTTTGACTTTTCTCCTCATTTCAACTTGTTGTCCAAATCCTGTACTACCATCAACTTCTTTTTTAAGGTAGTAGAATGATGATTGATAATCCTGAAATTCTACACAGAGACCTGCTGAGTGTTAAAAGTTGAGAAAAGTCACAATAATAAAACATCATTGTGATCATGGTGAGAGAAAGTGTAAGCCGGCTTGGCATATATCTCAGATATTTGGAACCTAAAAGTATACATTAACATGAGTGTTTCTTGTAATGTCATTACAAAAATTATGATGAATGACAGGTCAAAGACATTCGGAATGAAACGGATTCTGTTGATTATATAATTGATATATTTTCAGGTATTACCTATTTATAGTTTATCTCAGAAGAAAATGTTTATAACCAAATACCATGGGTTAAATGAAACAATAGATATTAAAGTTGTTGCTGTCTTTGGAAATGATGTGTTGTACAAACCCAAGGCGATCTAATATAATGTAAACTTATCTCTCTTGGAGAATGCCCAAGTAGAGAGGAGAAAAGGCAAGTCCAATAAATGGGACATGTATATTTTAGATAGTGATTAGCCCAACAACTGCTGACAGTTGCCTTGATGTTGTATAATGAGCATTTTCTGTGTGCATGCTGGCTCAATCTCAGAACTGTATTCTCGAGTGTGTCATAGTGGAAAGAGCACTGGATCACGAGTCAGGAGAACTAATGGCTAGCCCAGCTCTACCACTACCCTCCCGTGTGCCTCATTTTCCCTTCTTTAAAATGAAGTGGTTATGGGGAAAGGGCTCTAAGAATCTCCGTGTTCTGCTACTTTTTTATTCTGTGGTTCTTCGTCCCACACCTGTCAAAAGCATTTTGACTTTCTTTAAGTTGCTTAAGTCAGCGTTTCAGTTAGATCCATCCAGGAGCTTATTCCCACTGGCTGTTGGGAACAGCAAAGCCTTGCTTCTCCGGGACTTCATATGTCTTCTGCTAACTGCTGACAGTGAGCCATGCCACCTAAGAGGCTCCTTGGGTAGCCTTAAAGATTGAAAGGACAAACGGACAGTGTTGAGAACTCTGTGGAAGAGGAGACCAGAGAGACGTTGATCATCATGGCTCCTTGGGATTTGCAAAGAGGAATGACTAGAGCTGGGCCATTCACTACAGCCAGGTCAAAGGTCAGGTCAGGAATGTGGACAATGCTGGTGACTCCAGGTAGGTGTAGGAGGGTAACTACACATGTTTAGTCCCTCCTGTCTTGAGACTGGGAAGCCAATCTCAGAAAGCTTTTAGGATGGTTCCTAATTTATTCAATTCACTGGAAGAAAAATGTGACCTTATTGTTTGTGTTTTTATTGCCACACAATCATTGTATTCTTACTTGATAGTCGCCAAGTAAATATACTCTTAGCATATTCATATAGTTAAGTATTCATTAAACACACTTTCATGATCACTTACTGATTTAAAGAAGACCCGATTTTAATTGATGCCATTATATAATGGACACACTTTTTTTTTCAGGGAATTTTAGAGTTTTGAGTTTTTTCCTTGGCATTAATTATAATTCTCTAGTAACAGAGACTTATATTTATTATTATTTTGATAACAGGAAGCTAATCTGGAGATAACTAGAAAGTGATTAGAATAGTATTTTCCTTGGTGATTGAAAAAGGAATAGACAGTTAGTGTAGGAATATCAATCCAGATAAGTAAAAATAATTTTAATTGTTGAATGCAGTTATAAGAAATTAAGTGTTTGTATTAGTGTTTCTATCATGGAATTCCAGTAAAAACTTACATGTGTTTTTTAAAAATATGGATTGAATTCTCATATGTAATTATTCCCTGTGTGTTTGATACATATTACAAGAAGGTTCTTTTCTTTCTTCTTTTTTTCTTTTTGCTTTTATCTAGTTGCTTCCAAGATCCGGTACTTGCAGGAATACCATAACCGAGTTCTCCACAACATTTACCCCGTACCATCAGGAACAGATATCGCAAACACCCTGAAGTACTTTTCCCAAACCTTGTTAAGGTAAGCCTTACATAACCTTGACTTCGAGAGAACTATTTGGTAGTACCGCTGAATTTATTGGGACCTAATTTCACACTGAACTGAAAGTCTTGAAAGGCCTTAGTTTTCTAGTGTTCTGTCAGAAGAGTCTGGACTCTAGCCCTCTGGGTATGTCTAGCAAATCAGACCCCAGCTTCCTTGGAAACATGGGCGGAGTGGTTGTGGCCTGCTTCATAAGTTGAGTGATCTTTTGGGAAATCTACAAATGATAAAAAAAAAGTTGTGTGTTTGACACAGTAGCTCAAGTTTGAGAGAGTGAGATTTGAGTCTTTAAAAATTGAGAGCAAGGAGCACTTAGATTCTAAAAGAAATTGAGAGTTATATGGTGGGTTAGGCTTGCTGCTATTGTGTCCTGGTTCTCAGATCAGTGCAGTAATAGCAGTTGCTTCCAGCCTATGTGTCACAACTGATATTTAGTCCCGTGGGGACAAGGGATCAGCAGCGCAGGAGCTCCTTGTACTGTGTTTTTACAGGAGTGAGACCTGAGGGACATTCCCCTTTACACTTGCCACTAATGCTAACAAGCAAAGAGGAGCCCTTTATAGCAGTTTAGCTGTCTTTGACAAATAGAGTTGAAGAATTCAGAATATTTCACTGATGACTATGCCCGAGCACTTGGTCTCCCCACTGCCACAACCCCTCTTTGAATCTGTCTTGGGACTCACTGCCATTTCTGTTATTTAGACAACAGCAAGAGTTCTGTAGGTCAGGTATGGGGAGGACATACTTTGGAGTTTGCAGTGCTCTGACACGTGTTGTGTGCAGACAGGCTGACCACAGACAGAGAGGGACATCCTGCACACAACCAGTCTCTGGTCTTCTGCATTGCTGTCTACCATTCCTCCCCTTTGGCTATTGCTTCATCTTCAGAATCCTTAGTATCCCTGTCCTAGTGTGGAGGGATTCTATTTATCATCCGGCCAGCAATGTCTGTCAGGTTCCCATACTTGGTTTAGCATCCTGGAGCAGGCTATTTCTTCTTTTCAAAGGGCATAGACTAGTTAACTCGGTTTTCTTGTTAGTAATCGGATGAATATGTGAACTGAGGCATCCTATTCCATTCTTTTAAATTTTCCTTTTGCCTTTGAGGCTGGGGAGTCCTAAGGGAAACTCTTTCCTATGTTGGAACCCAAAGTGAGTGTAGGAAACATTGTAGATCCATTTGTGAAGAAATGATGACAACTTTGTTGGCTTCAAAGTATGCCACTTAGGGATTTGCAATTGTGCCAATAAGTTAAGAAATTTAGGATACTGTTTTGAGTTATGTCTGCAGGGTACGAAGGTTCTGTTTTTATCATTATGATGAAGCCAGGGATAACATCTTCATTGTGAAACTGGTATTCCAGTAGTCTATTCTAGTGGCTGTGGGAAAAGATTGTGAATCCGAGGATAGTCCATTTTAAGGGGTGTCAATATCAACAACTGTTAGTGGTGACAGTGGCAATAGCTATCATCACCATAGCAACATTGTATTATGATAGCTATATTTCTTCACATCAAATTCTGCTCTAAGCTCTTGAAGTGTGACCTTTCCTTTAACCCCTTGTACCTAGATAAGGGAACTACTGTACACACTTCACAGATAATGAAACCAAGTTGCAAGTGTGGTTCAATAAGTTGCTCAGTGTTATATATCTAGTAATTTTGGAGTCATTAGGTCATTGGTGATCTTAATCCACAGCACACACTGTGACACCTGTGCCATGCTGCTGCTCTCTAGTTATTGTCACACAGCAGGGACACTTCTTAATAAAAACTTGACTTTACCTTTGGGAACGCTAGCATCTGATAGAAACCCATAGAGTGGTTTTGGCTGTCTGTGAAATCAAGGGAAGAAAGGGAGTGTTTAGTATTAGAAATTCGGCATCTCTTCAGAACTTTTGTTAAGCAGAGCTGCTGAACTGAAGTGATGGGGATTGGACAGCAGTTCCCAGCTGTCTCAGTTCCACCTTGCGCTCAGAAGGTAGCTGCAGGCAGTAGACCAGAGCAGGGTTGTCAGACCCTGTGCATATCTACATAGTGCTCACTTGCTCAAGACATAGAGGTGTGGAAAGAACATTGAGGAATGTAATGTATCATGGATCATGGATCAGACTTGAATAAGAATATTTACAGGTAAAATATTTGGTCTGAACCCTATGAATTTTCCTTATCGTCCCTGTGTCTACTGAAGCTTCTTTTTCATTCGAAAAACTGGAAATGCAAAGCTGTTAACTTTTGTTGTATATATTGAACCGTGTTAGAAGTCCTTCGGCTATTGTCAGCTCCATCCATTCCAGTTATATTTACATTCCTTCCTTGTAAAAAAGGTAGTAGAAAGTTTAAGCCACATTGAGATGAACTAAATCATTGGCTCTTTGATCATTACTAGTAAACATCTTTGCCACAAACAAGGTGGTTCCCTTTGCATTTATACATGTTTTAAATCCAGAATTACTTGCTGCTTCCAGAACTCAGGTTCTTGCAAAGAAACAGGAAGAAAAATCTGGGTACTGGGGCTCATGTCTGATGTCTCCAAACTAGAGAATTGGAGGCAGGAGGACTGAGACACTGGGCAGGACTATGTGGCACTGTTTTGCAAAATTCAAGTGTCTCTGTTTGAGTTAGGATTACATCGTTTGAATGCTAGTGTCTATGAATTCATGCAACCTCACTGAATTCAGGAAAGCTTTGTATGGCAAGGCCGAGGCTAGCCTAGATGTTTAATGTCAGTCAGTTTAGTCCACAGGAAGAAAGAGACTGCATGTTACCACAGCGACTATAACACCAACCACAGCATCTTCATAAGATAATTAGTCTGACAAGGTTCTCTTGATTCTGGATGGAGAAGTCCTCTGTCATATTCAGTGTACTGGATATGTGCCCCAAGTAGCCTTTGTCCTCTAATGCGGCATCTATAAAGGCTTGTCGAGTTGTCTTCTGTCAAATTTCAGCCAGTACAGGAGCTCTCAGGAGCCTTTCCTGCCTCAAGCAGTGACTGGAGGTCCTGGGTGGCATTATATATGCATGCTAAGCTGTGCCCATTTTAATTTAGCAGGGTCCCAAGTCCAGCAGTGGACACATTTTAACAGGACTTTCCTGTAGAGGTTGTTTTGCTCCTTTGCCTCCTAGCACTAGGGGCAGCAATGCAGATTGTCAAGTTTAACCCCTCAGTGCTCAGAGGTGTTTGTTACTTCGTGCTAGAAGCAATTCGTGGTCACATTTCCATCATCTAAGGTCTTTAAGGATCTTGCCTTCTACCTGGTGGCCAGACGTCAATTGGATCCTAGTTTCCTCAGACTCTCTGTTGGAAATCTTCCTCTGTGTCTCTCTGTCAGTGTTCTCAGAGCTGCTAGAATGTAAATCTTTACATTTGCTACCAACTCGTTAGAGAATGTAAATCTGTTTTAGATAGAGATTCTAGTCTTAGTCCAATATTCTTAATAGAGTAGGAATTTCTAAGGACACACACACATACACACACAGACACATATGGATACATACAGACACACACACAGAGACATACACATATGCAGAAACACACACAGAGACATACACACACATATACATATATACACAGATACACACATATATACAGACATACACACATACACAGATATGCACACATATATACACACACAGAGACATGCATGCATGCACACACACACACACACACACACACACACACACACACACACACACAATCTGAAGTCCACAGGCTAGTTTTGAAGCATAGCATAGCATAGTCAATTTGTTTAGTGCATAGATGCAGTGCAAATGTCAAAATTCTTAATTGTGTAGAAAGTTGATTTGATGGATTAATTTTCTGCACAAAAAAGACCTTGGGACATTCAAGCCCCTTGCCCACTGTCACAGGGGTCTTCTCTCTTTTTGACAGTGCAAGTCAGTGCTCACAAGGAGGGTCTTAAGAGGGAAAGGGAAGGTGAAAAGATGGCCACAATGTCTGACTCTTCTGACAGAGCATCCTTAATATTCCTTTTGATTGAATCTGTATATAGACCTTTGGGAAAGAATTTCAGATGAATGTGGAAATAGTTGTTCATTCCCAAGTTAAATAGTTTGGTTGGGGAAATAAGTAATTTTTTCTCTGAATAAACTTCACAAACATCATAAAATCACAATGCATTCTACATTGATTCATGAGCCCTTCTTAAGTTTCCACAAGTGAACACATTTCCTTACATTGAGACATGAATGGCAATCTAAAACTGGTTTCATGGATAACTCATTTTCGCCATTTCCCCCCTTGACTTCACCTACTGGTTAAATCTAAAGGCAGTGAAAGTTTGATGGCTTCAGTGCTGACACTCATCCCTCCATGAACGAAGGACACTGTGATTGCTGTCATTTGGGAACCGCACATGTACAGAAGGGAAAATGTCATAGAAGTAGCTTCCAAGGTTGATTCACAAGTACTGTTACACTCCATCCAGTCTTGGAACAACAGCAACGTGCAGTCAATAATGTGCTATATTTCCCCCACCAAGGAGGTGGTTGGTCAGACTCAAAGGGTATTTAAATATCATGTATTTATGATATTCAGCTATTTTCTTATTGACTAAGGGACAGAGTTCTTGAGAAAAGCTGGCAGCTAGTGAACTTATGCTGAAATTTGGGATAATATCTCAACATGTCAATTTTGTGGTTCTAAAGGGATTCCAGAGGCTTAGATACTATAGGATTAAAACAAATTTTTGATGACTGGACTATCATTAATACAACCTGTAGAGATGGTAATCTGAGGAGTATTTTAGTTTTGTGGGAAACTATAAAGCCTGATGCAAAAAAAGGTATGTTCTCTATAATAGATGTAGGCAGATGGTAAGAGGTGGAATGCCACTATCCCATTGTACAGTCTGTTACAAAGCCCAATATAGCACACACTAAAAAGAATAAACTAAATCCCTTTTAACAAAAACAAATACAGCAACTCCTAAGTTCTTTATTGCTAAGAAGTATTACATAACCATTCTGAAATTATCTTTATTATCAATTGTTTTTCCCTGGACATTGGGTAACAGAAGACAGAGGAAATCGAGGTAAATTAGGCACATAGAAATAAAAAGCATGTAGCCATTTTTTTTACATTGTAACATATTTCTGCGCTAAGAGTAAATAAAAAATGTCAATGTCAACTTGACATAACAAGCATGCTGACACTAACCAGTTCCTCACATCACTGTGATATTGTAGATGTCACACTGTTAGCTGAGAATTTAGTGATGTTGGATGCACATAGAGTAAGTATATGAAATGAAGCATTTAGACACTGTTTTCTATTCTGACTAACAAGTAAGTGTACTATAGAAAAGCACTCTAGTGCTATAGATGTTATAGTACATAATGGTTGCCTACTGATAAATAGCATAATCTAATTTTAAAAACCTAAACATTTGGCTAAGAAGTAATTTCTTTGACTTTTATAACTTTTACTACAAGTTTTATAGATTTAAGTGGAGACTAAAAGTAAAACTATTTTTACAGACTTACATTTATTCCCATTAAACTTTTTTAACTTTCTAAATTATCTTTTCTCTAGTTTTTAGTGAGTTTTGTTGAATACTAAAGTAAGTAACAGCAGTATCATATGAGATCTTGTTGTATGGTACACAGCTTTCTGGTAGATGATGCTTGCTTAGATTTTAAACTTTTCAAGGTAACTATTTAATAAACCACTGTTTGTATCCATAAAATAAAACATTCCTCCCAAACATGCCAAGTTAAAACATGCACACACAGACACACACATGCACATGTACACATTCCCATTCTCATAGTTCACCGGTACACGCTATGGGCCATTTACTATATATTATTTTATAGCTTTTCCAATGTAGTTTAGTTAACACTTTAGAAATATGTATTATTTCTAAGTTCATATGCCTGTTTAAACTTCATTATCTCAAATGATACTGACAGAATGTCATGAAACAGTATCATAATATACATATAGACATTATTTTGATGCAATAAACATGTGATTTTTAAGACTTTCTTAATAAACGCACATGTTTATTCTTTGCTAAAACATGTTTCTGCAAGTGCCATACCTATATTTTGCAAGTTTCTATTTACATGATGAGACAGTATTGCTGACTATGTTGCTTTGAAAACCCCTTGTAATTAGGAATGAGATCCCTCACAGATGAAGCCAAGCCAGTGTTCCTCCCTCTAGGAAACCTCTCCTTCACCAAATTGACAAACTGTAAAACATGGGTTTGGCACTGAAACATGCATTTTTATATTTTTGCTCCTTATAAACCAGATAACACATGAGATGCAATGCAACTTCCACAAAAGTCCACCTGTGTTGTTGGTATCCCTACGCACATGGCTGTGCGGCCAGCACTAGACCTGTCGACTGTGCTGAGGTGGTGATTGCATCTTATGTGGGATGTATCTGGTGTTTTATTATTTGTTTTAGAGTGTCATTTCAATGTAATGTGCTGTTCTTTGTGTCTTTGTTGTCTCTTTTTTTTCTTTGTCCCCCCAACAGCATTTTGTCCCGCACAGGGAAGAAGGAAAACCAAGATGCCTCCAATTTGACAGTGCCCATGACCATGTGTCTTTTTCCTGTGCCATTCCCACTCACCCCATCTCTAAGACCGCAGGTCAGTTCCATCAACCCTACTGTTACTCGCTCCCTCCTTTACAGCGTCCTGCGAGATGCTCCTTCAGAACGCGGCCCGCAAAGTCGTGATGCTCAGTTGTCAGACTACCCTTCTTTGGACTACCAAGGCCTCTACGTGACTTTGGTGACTCTTCTGGATCTAGTTCCTTTACTACAGCATGGCCAACACGGTGAGCATTTTTATTGAAGTCTTTGGAAATGTCCATGTGTGCTTATGAATATTTATGATGCTGGGCAGCAGGCTTGGAGAATATTGTTACTGTCGTAAATCTCTTGAAGGGTTTGTGTATTCGAAGCCTTTCTGACAATGAAACTTAATAATGGTGTTTCCCATCCAGTCATTTCACACTGTCTTGATGCCCAGGGCTGTTGTTCAAGGGCTTGGAAACAGGAGACAATGGACAAGAGACAGGGGGCTATAGCAGGCAGCTCCCTTCCCTGGTCAGTGTATTGTGGAAACTCTTGTTAAAGCCATAGTTGAGAAGCTGAGTTTAAATTAAAATCTTGCCCCAGAAAATGTAAGAGGTTGTGCTTGAAGAGCAGACTCTAATCCTTGACTGTTCTGGGAGTTTCAGGGGCAAATCAAAGTTTCTCTCTGGGACTCATTTTTCCTGGTAAAATAAGTGCCTAAGACCTCTTCCAGATTTATCTAACAACCAGCAATTACTGCAAAACGCTAGGGCAAGAGTTAGAGCCCATGGCATGCCAGTGGTGTTTAGAGTAGAAGTGGACAAGCAAGCTTCCTCCCTCTGCTCCATGTCACCTTGTCCTTCCATTGGTTGCCCCTCTGTTTTTCAAATCTACACAGGGGAGTGCAGTGATGTCTGCTTAGCTATCTAATACGGATTTGGGGGAAATTAAAAGTTAAAAACTGTATGGGAAGTAGAAATTTGTTTCTTAAATGCACTTTAGAAACCTGAGCTGTCTTTAAATCATTGGCCATTTGGTCCCTGGAAGTGTGATGACTGAAGTTTCATTGTACGGAAAAGCCAGCTTTGGAAACAGGGGGGTGGTGGGGATTGTTTTACTTTTTATTATGACTGTCTGTCCTGTCCTAAAAGAATGCTTAATGGTTGATTTGGTATAGAGTGTTTATAATGAAAAGATTTTAAAAATAGTTTCCTTTCATAAAGTGATGAGATAATATTACTGAATTTGCTTTGCTTGTCTTTATAATGCTGTGTTATAGTGAAGATAAAAGTGTAGAACCCTGTAAAGTTGCTTATCTTGAACCCTTGCTGTCTTAAACCTGCCTAGCCTGTTGTACTACAATCTTCTCCCAGCTCAGAACCTAAATGAGACAAATTGGAAAGTCAGATTGTGGGAGCTTGCAGGTGTCAAGTGACACGTCTGCTGAAATTCATTAGTGCCTGTGCCCTGTGGCACCCAGTCCTAAATTCAACATGACCCACGTGTTCCTGGGAAGGTCCACTGGGTCAGAGTAGAAGCCCTTTGTTTTTAAGATTTCTTGACTGTGGTATTTCACTTGGTAAATGGCAATCCACATAATGTGTGAATCTTGACAATTTTAGTATAGATGATTTATGGTTTTGCTCTCATGCCTATGCCTGCCGTGTGACCTTATCTTGAAATTTATTTATTATGTTCGTCTTCTGTATAATGTAGCTTAGAAGCTAGGATAAAGCTCACCAGTTCATTCTAGCAAATGGTTTAGAGAGCCCAAGCAGCGCCATTTCCCACAGGGCTGTCTGCACAACCTGGGCTATAAGGAACTTGGAGTGTGCAGTTCTTCAACGAGAATCACTGAGGAGTGGTCCTATCAGCTGATGTTTTGAGTGAGCTTCCTGTGAAGCTTCTTCTGTGAACGGACTGACTGTTCCATGGCTAGAGGCTCTGTCCTCACGTTGGGCCCAGGTGGCCTATAGGAATGGACAATAATTCTTCAACTATGGGTGAATTGTGATCTGGGTGGTCACTACTTTCTCCAGATCTGTTTCCTTGGGTAGAAAATACCCCAGGTGGACTTCCAGGTCCTTTCAGTGCTCTTAATCTGAAATTAGTTTTTTTTTTTTGCCTAAGGCTAAAAAAGGCTCAGCGAATTAAGCTGAGGTGTCTTTTATGCACAGCCTCATGAAATTCGAACAAAACACCTGTGAATTTCCACATGTTGGTCTGGTCTCACAGGCAGTGGACCACATTGTCCGTTGACAGGCCAGTTGATATGGCATGTTAATTCTCATGACTATTAGAAATAATTTGAGGAACACACATGATTCTGGAAGACGAATCAGGGCCAAACCAGACCAGAGTCTGAGACTTCGCTATCTTAATGAACAAAGAGGTGATCCATCTTCATGTCAAGCCTTGGCTGAGGGCCTATGTTTCAAGAGGTTCAGAAATGTCACAATGTACATGGAATGTAATGGGTTTATTCTTCATACGTTCCAAAGCTAAAAAGTTGTTTGTTTTGAAGGTCCTCTATTTTTGCTTCTCATGCAGGTAACAATGATAGTAATATTAATGGCAATAAGTAATAGCTAATGTTTTTGGAGTACATGCTATGCTGAGCTCTGTATTTATTTCTTCTAAACTCCTTTGATGCCAGGTAGGTATTGCTATTATCCGTATTTTAAAGCCTTGAGAGATTATTTTGAGGAGAGCTGTCTTTCCTGACAATTAAGAGCTAAATGCACAGGGTTTTGCAGGACCAGCTCAAATCTTTCTGTGAAGCACATCAAGTCTGGAGATTATAAACTACTTTGCTGTCCAGGTGTAGCAGAAATAGCCAGACTTTAATTTCTAATGCTGCCCTGGACTTTTCTGAAAATTCTAGGGGGCACATCACTGCATTTCAGTTATCTTTATGAAATGCAATGGAGATAAGAAATGGAGGAGTGTCAGTATTCACTTGGAAAGTGCTTTGATTTATGGATCCAGGGTCATCTAAATAGTGAGGCTTACAGATGACTGACACACTGATGAGAAACTCATGGAACAGATTTATTTCTAAGTATATTCACCAACTAACTGCTATGTACATCCCACATTCTACCAAGCAGTGAATTTCTGAACTTTTAGGAGGGGCAATAGCTGCTTTTATAACTTAAGCCAGCTTATTAAAACTTAAGATATAAAACTAGCATGTTTTGTTACTGGCACCACCTTCAGTGACTGACTACTTAATTTTGTTTTGTAGATCTTGGACAGTCAATATTTTATACAACCACGTGTTTGCTACCCTTTCTCAGCGACGATGTTCTGAGCACTTTGCCCTACACGATGATCTCAACGCTAGCTACCTTTCCTCCATTTCTTCACAAGGATATTATTGAATACCTTAGCACATCTTTTCTACCAATGGCCATATGTAAGTTCAACCTCACCTAACCCAAACACTATCCTTATGGGAACTGTGTTTACTCTTACAGGCGCTTGATTTTTCAATATTGTAACGGAATCGCTTGATCTGTGTACCTGCTGTGATTTAACTTTGGTTGTTCCAGCATTTACATCAAGTTGGAAGTCAATAAAGTGAAAGGCGACTGTATCTTAGAATCGACCTGTTAGTTATTCAGTTCTTCCCCACTGACTAGGAAGAAAGACTGTGTCAGAGCATTCTGTGTTTCCTGCTTATAGATTGCAAGGTCTTTTTCCACATCAGGAGAGGAGGTGGACAGGGTGTCATCTGGTGTGGAGACTGCTCTTTTCTGCATGGGAGGACACGGGCCAGGCTGGAGAGGGCAGCCGAGAGTGGGGAAAGGTGGACTCTGGCTCCAGCTCCATCTCAGGTTGCCGTGGATGTGTTGTGCCTCTCCTTTCACATAGTTGAAATCTCATATCACGTGGTTGAAATCTAATTCAATGCTGATGAGTGAATCAGCTTTTCCTTCTCGGTATTTTGATGACAAAATGAGTCAAAATTTACGACACACTTTGAAAAAAGTTAAAGCCCGTGACTGCAGTGTAAGATACAGTCGCAAGCCCGGGACTGGTCTTGTCTATGTATTAATATTTTTGGAGACAGGGCCTCATCACTCCAGGTCAGCCTGGAACTTGATTGATTATATAGTCATGAATGGCTTTGGGTTCTTGATCCACTGTCTTGGACTCCCGAGTGCTGGAGTTATAGGTGTGTGTGACTGTACCTGACTTTTCTACTTTTATAGAAAAAATTCTTCAGGGTCCTCAGACATGAAAACAAAGAGAAGACAGTGCTGAGTTGCAGCTTCTATAATCCAGTCTCTAAAGTGTTTTTTAACATGTTGTTTGTGGATTAACCTATATTTCAGGGACTAATCTGAAAAAATTATGACTTTAGACTGCAACCAGTTCAAGATGCAGATCTCAGCTCTGCCTCTGGCTAACTATGCAAGCTCAGGCAGGTGACTCAAACCTTTGATTTTTATCTGTAAAATAGTAATCATAGCTTTCTTGTGAATAATCACAGCTTCTTCATGAATAGTAACCTTAGCTGTCTCACGAATAGTAATTGTGACTGTATTTGAGGTGTCATGGATTAGCATAATTAGCCCGGGACACTGATAAAGTGCCACCCCCAGAGCCTGCTGTGCAGTAGGTCTTATTTACTTCACTTTCTCACTCTTTTTTTTAAAGATAGGGTTTTCCTGTGTATCCTGGTTGGTCTAGTATTATGTCACTCATGGCTACCCCCCTGCCTCAGCCTCCTGAATACTGGGACTATAGGTGTGTACCACCACACCTGCTTTCTGTCTCTTGATTTTTTTAAAAAATAAAAATAGCTCCATTGGTTGTGTCTAACTCCTAGTATCAATGCTAGCCACATTAAGTTACATACTTATGCCCTTTTTCAAGTTGTGTGTCACATGTACCTTTTGGGCTGTATTGGCTTACCTTGTAGTTGAGTATAATTTAGATAAAGAACTGTAGTTTTCATGTCTTTTTAGCAAAGAGTCTAGACTCTTTGCTAATAATATTTTAAAATTTTCATCAAGTATTAATTAATGCTGCTAAAAACTAACATTTAGCAAGTATTTAGATATAAAATATTTTCTAAAATATCCTAATTATTTAACAACAGGGAAAAATGAGCAGACTGATGATGTCACACCAAGTTGTAGAATACTTCATTTCACTCTCTGTTTCACCTGTGTGATCTCATGAATCAGTTCTCACTGCTTATGGATATAGCCATATAATTTGTGATCTTACTTTTAATTTTGACTGTTAAGTAAATGAAAAGGCATATTTTAAAGAAGAAGAATAGCAGACGAGACTGTATGTTACTGATAACAACCTAGCTCACTGTGTCCCTAGTTCTTAGGAATAAGTTAGTAATTGTGGGGAGACATTAATCCAGTCAGCTTCTCACTACACTGAGGACTGATCAAGTATTGTCAGCTTCTTTGTTTTTTGTTTGTTTGTTTGTTTCAGAGCTGATGACTAATTCCTCCTTAATTAGAAATAGAGATTTCCAGACATACGCCTTGTTATGTTAACATCCTTTCTTTACACAAATATCTGAGGCAACCGAGTATTAAAAATGAGTGATGCTAATCTGAAAAATATTGTGTGATTTTCAGTGTTTATTAGTGGAATGACTTGATATTCACTCAAAGGTATGAACAGTCATTTTATATCTCTGAAATGTAATTTTTTCCAGCTTTAAAGAAGGGGCATTCAGAAAATAAGTTGAACCTCCCTGGTTATTTCTGACTTAATAATGCTAGGTTGAATAGCATCAAATGTTTTTTGACATAATTGGTGCACACCATTGGCAGACCTGGCTCGTGTGTTTATTTTGCCACTCGGGCTTTAGTCTGTTACTTTGGGCTTGCCTTCTCAGCACCCTCCTGGTAGTTCAATAGTACTCAGTCTTTTGTCATCTTTGCAATGAGCTGTAGTGGTAGTCTGCATGCCAGCTGTTAGATTACTGAGTTGTTTCTTTGCACATAGACCTAAAGACAGAAGAGATGGCCTTTCAGATTCCTTTTAGGATGGACTGTGTGGTGAGGATGTGGGTCTTGTCACTTCATCCACACTGTTTCTAGGTTTTGGTAGTTGTTACAGTATCTAGAGCTTCTCACTGAAACAGGACAGGGATGTTTAACTTGGTCCAGAATAGTTTTATTTCAGAACAAAGATGTTAGAATAGAAGATGTTGCATTTTCTAAATGTTTGAGAGTCTTTGCCAGAAGGACTTGCTGGGCAAGAAGGTGTGGGTTTGTATTGCTAGCACTTGGGAGATTGAAACAGGCGGATCACTGCAAGTTCAAGGTCAATAAGACCCTGTTACAAACAACAAAACAATACAAAACAAAACTGACAGGAAGATGTTTAAAAAGTCTCTCTTTGACATGGTATTCTTATAGGCAGTGCAAAGCATGGATTTCTTTTCAGTTTTTAAATGAGTGTCATTAATGATTATATAATTGCTGATTATATAATTAGCGATCATGTGATTGTCTGTATTACTTAGATGATGCAGTTTGGAGCTTTGAAGTGGATCCAATTCTTTAAACCAAGCATTGGATGTGTAGCATACATGCTGTTCATGCCATCTTTGTTACCACGCTAATTGCTTAATGCCTAAACTGCTTTTAAATAACTCATCAATTTATTATATAAATTCCCCTTGATGTATTTTTATTAACTCCTTCCATAAATAAAATATTGCACTCTTTATTCTGTATGTGTAAAATCTACGTTGTTTATGAAAGTGTATTAAAAGAGTTACTAAGGATCGGGAAAAAAAAACAAATCATTTGCACATCACCATGGAAACCTCTCTTTTTCCAGTAAAGGATTTGTGATTTGTTGTCCAAACTGAAATAGGGATCTTTGGAAGATGATACTTAGATATAATTTAAATAAGCGCCTGTTAATGTGGGCTGTCCTATTTTGAAGAAAGAAACAATGCTGAGGAACTGCACCGTCCTGGACTGTGCAAATTCAGTTTAGATATTCTCAGTCACTGGTCCTTAGGAAAAAGAAAGGCTCGTGCAAATCCTTGTGTTGACTTAAAAACAACGGTATGACTTCACTGAATATCTGGTTCCAGGCTTTGGTTTTTATTGTTCGTTTTCAGCTACCACATGGAACACAGTTCTATGATCTCATGAAGACTAATCTCACATAGAAAAAATAATGAAAGACAAATTCTTGATGATATTTGAATAACCATTATCATGCATAATCTACTTATCCACTAACGGTTATGTTCACAAAGATCGGTATTGCTGCAAGAGCCTTTTGTTGAACTGTGAGTAATGTTTGGTACCAGGATTTGTTGAGGGGCATCACTATAATCCTTTGGCTTTTCACAATTCTCCATCTTTGTTGTGAAGATCATTGGAGGAAGGCCACCTGAGACTGGAATTTGAATATTCTATGATGTGTAAATACATAATGGAACAATGCACAGGCAAATCATAAACATACTAATCAAATCAAATTGCAGAATTCTGACACTTCTCTGCTGCGATTGTTCATGTTGTTCTGAAGATTTTTTTAAGCACACTACTGAGGCAAAGGGCCATCCCTGGTTTAGTTCGTCACAAGAAAACCACTGCACACTTTGTACTCAATACTTGTGGAGTTGGGCATCTTGCTTCACTAACGCAATTAGCAAGTATTTTAATGCCACATAGACTTCAGAATCATGTGATCCTGGTATTGTCTTTTAGTTTTGCTGATGCCTTCTGAACTCATGGCTGTCTCTAACAGAGACCTTCCCTAATGGAGTATAGTCATCTCTGCTTGCACAAACCCATAGCCTGTGAGAGAAGCTACTTCTCTATCCAGATAATGCTATCTAGTCAACTGTAGAAAGTGGCTATATCATGTATACTAGGAGTTTCTTCATTCTAGGTGACTTTCTTATCTTTTAGGAGACTTATAATGGGGTTTATTTCAACCCATTCTTTCTTAGACTATGCCTTATAGTGGTCATTTGGGTCAGACTAATAGCTTCAGGCCTGGTCTCTCTACTTCCTTGGTTAGGCTTCCTACTACCTGTTCTTTACCCCAAACCTAGAACTCCTTCCAAACACATAGATTAGATCATGTTATGTCCCTCCTCCAAACCATCTGGCTTCTAGTAACTCTTAACCATCAAATTCAGTGACCTTACTTGACCTCTGTGATCCAGTTGTGGTCGGCCTCACTCCTTTTATTGCTTCTCCACACGACTGCTCTGCATGTCTGCACCAGCCTTTCTGAGATTTTACAAACGATTTTGTGTTTAAACAGTTTCCCTTCTAAATAGTCTCATGATGGGCTTCCTTTAGGTCACAGTTCAAGTACCACATCTTTAAAAGAAATGTGTGTGTGTGTGTGTGTGTGTGTGTGTGTGTGTGTGTGTGCATTCAAGAGAGACAGAGGGACATAGAGAGAGACACAGAGACAAAGAGACAGAGACAAAAACAGAGATGAAAGACACAGAGAAACACACACCACAAGAGTGATTCAGAGAGATAGAGAGACGCAGAAAGACAGAGAGGGACACATACATAGAGACAGAGAGATATAGAGAGAAAGAGACACAGAGAAACAGAGATGAGAGGCAGAGAAACAGAGAGAGAGAGAGAGAGACAGAGAGAGACAGAGAGAGAGACAGAGAGAGAGACAGAGAAAGATTCAGAGGATATCATTTGGGAGTCAATTTTCTACACCGTGTTGAGGCAGGAGCTCCTTTCTTGTCTCTGTTACTGCTCTGTGTACTCCAGGCTAGGTGGCCCAAGATTTCTGGTGGGTTCTTCAGTCTCTGCCTCCTATCCCAGAGTGGCAGGACTTCAGATGCCATGGCATCTAGATTCTCATGTGGGTTCTGGAGATGGAGTTTGAATGGTCAGGCCCATGCAGCCAGTGCTTTTATTCCCTGAGCTGCCCTCCTGGACACTCTTAAGGACCACGTATTTTGAGATGCATTCCCTTCTAATGCATGCCGAACCTTCCATCACCTCTCTTTTCCCTTGCCAAGTTTCATGCTTCTTCAATGGCCAATGTTTGCCCTTTGCTATAGAACAACACTGTCCCCATCTCTGATAGAAATGGAAGTAAAATTCTGTGCCACCTCACACTGTAGCTTTTACCACGTAGGGTTCCTAAGTACATATGATGTGTCTAGTGAGGCTGAAGAATGCAATTTTAAATCCTATTTAATCTACCTCCTGCTAATGGCCACCACACAGCATAACCCAGCTCTGGCAATGATCTTCTTCACTGCTGTAACCAAAAGCCTAGAATGATGCCTGGTGCAATTCTATGACAAAACACGGTGCGTGACTGGGTGATTGGAGCGTTAACCATGAATGTACTAGTCCTAGACCGGCATTGTCCCAGTAATTAGGCTAGTGCATTTTCTCATCTGCTTACTTTTAAAGGCAAGAGTCATATAAGGACTGCACACCTAGCGCATTAGGAATTATCACATGCAGGCACATGTTAAGGGATTGGTACTGGGAGGAAGGCAAGATGGTAATTTTTGTTCTGGTGCTATCAGGGGAACAGGGGGAAGGCCTGGAAACTTTTAATTATATTTCTTGAGAACAATAGTCTTCCCTTTAATTGTGTGTGCCTTTGTGCTCTCATGGGATCGAGCTGTGTATCTGTTTACATCATGCCTTTTAAACAAGATTCGGTAAAGGATGTGCTTGTGCACGCTTATTACATTAGAGCCATGGTGATTGTATTCAGTCTTGTAGAAGGCTTTGAAATTGCAAGATACCGTCTGTTTATGTAAGTATTGGAGCCAATTTCCTGGGGCTTGTGTCCTAGGGGACTCTTTTGGCTTTGTGGATAGTCATACTTGAGGGACAGCATAGATTTGCAGAGGTAACAGGGACATCCAAAGGTCGCTGAGCTATCTGGGCAGTTCTCCAACCAGACTTCACTTAAATCATCCAAGACAGTTGGGCATTTCTCCCATTTTAAAAGGCCTCTGGGCACAGTGGCTCCCAGCCTCTCTAACAGTTTTCATTGTTGAAAAAATGCTTATTATTAAAGAGTTTGAGTTGAATTTAAGTAAAGGTGAAAACACTTGTCACCAAAAGAATATACATGGGCAAGAGGGGGGGTGGAGAAGAGAAGAGAGGAGAGAGAGAGAGGATAAGAGAGAGAGAGAGAGAGAGAGAGAGAGAGAGTCTTCTGTTGTTGAGTATGTTGGAGTAGGCATTCCTTTCTTTTCTTCTTCAACAAAGGACACAGGAATATTGTATAAGTGCTCCCTCTTCCTAGTCTCTGGGTATTAGACTGTGCATCCCCTTGCTTACCTCTCACTCTCTTAACAATACTTCTCCAAGGCAGATCCAAGGCCAGCCTGCACAAGAGCTGGCGACGTGCTTATTATTTAACAGAGATTTCCCACACTGGCTGAGCTGGGATCCCCAGGATGGGCCCATACGAAGCTGAATTAGAAAAGGCTAAAGATGGAAAGCAATGGGTCTCACTCTTCAGCATTTGATTCCCAGCTCTTTCTTCTTCCGTTTGTCCCATTTGATTAGTCACCCTCACTCCCTCAGAGCAGTGTCCTGCACTCTGTATCAATCCTTGTCTGCTTATCAGCATTTGTTTATGGTGTAGTCAGACAGATCTCTGTACCTGAGTGCCTCCTGCCCTGTGAGTTAGACACACGCAGCCATCGGTGATTAATGAAGGCAGACTCAGGCTGGTGGGACTCAGTACCTGTTTTGTTGGTTTGCTTCTCCCAACCTGTTGCAAAGACCACTGTCCTTTACAGCATCGGAAGCTCTTGATGTGGAAACAAAACAGAATCCTGTTAAACTTGCACCATCTCTGCTTTCATGTTTCTGTTTACTGAGTGTCTCATTGCATTGCCTTGTTCTTTTTAGGTGCTAGCATACACTGCATTTTAACATAAAATAAAGCAGAGTTTGAGGTTATCTGCTTTTTGCTGACTGTCTGAAGCAGTGGTCTTTAGTGTGTAGAAAACAGTGCTGACTTGGTGAGTCTTTACTTATGGGTGCTGGCTTTATATTCCCCCTGTTTGACAGCTTGGTATACAAGCTCATCTATAACAGGTGTCTTCTACTTCTTCTGGTTCTCTGTGGAAAAAGGAATTCATTTTTTTATTTAATCTAAAGTTGCCTTTCTTGGGGGTCCTATCTCAGTTCTTGCTGGGATGAAAAATAACCTTTGGCTAAAAAGTTACCCAATAACTTCCATCAGAGCTAGTTTTGAATACTTATGGAGCAATTTCATATTTTCCATTAAAAAGAGATAATTTTAATATAGAGTTTGATGTTTAAAGATGTTTTTAAATCAGTGTACAAGTATCATGATTATACAGCTCTTGGGTGAATTTTGAAGACACCTATCTGCTTTACAATTGGACATTTGTTGGTATAGGATAAAATCACAGTTATTCACATATTCAAAAAAGTGCTTTGTTCCAAGCAACACAGGTTGATGTAAGGAGGGTAGACTGTGGAAGTGGTTTCTCATGGCAATTAAGATGCTGATGGGGTCTATGGGGAGGTTTGAATACTTCTGTGTAGTCGCCAAAAACCGTTTAAAAACCGATCATTTTCATAATACTTGACTTAGTATTTGTATGTATAACTAAACAAGAGGTTACACATTATATGAAGGTTGTTTGCCTACCTCTCCAAGTTAATGTGTTCTAGTTGGGTTTAAAACTCTTCTACTTTCTTATGAGGTTATCCGCTAGCATGTTTAGATGCCCCTTAATTTGGGCCCACAGGAGGTTCTATTTTCTTCTTTTCCTTTATAGATGTGAACATGTTGGGAATAAAGACCACACCTAAGTTCCATTCTGACAAAGCCATTATATTCTGGTTTTGTACCTTCTTCGTGTGGCTCTGCTCTAGATGTTTTTACAGTGGCACACAATGGTAGTGTTTGTAAGCAAGGAGCAGTTCTGTGGTTTTCTTTCTGTGAATTTCTATTGCATTTGGGGATGGGGAAGTGGCTTAGTTTGTAGTTTCCCTCACAAGCACAAAGCTCTGGGTTTGATCACCAGCATTCCATAACCTAGGTGCAGAAGTACATGTTTGTACCCCAGTACTGAGGGGTGGAGGCAGGAGGATCAGGAATTCACGGTCATCCTGACTGCATAGAAAGTTTAAGGCTAGCCTGGGGTAGATGAGACAACCATCTTAAAAAAGGAGGAAAGAAAAAGTCAGTAGTCCCCCAGCTCAGTTGGAGCACTCTCTTGAAGCTCTTTTGTGGGTCTGTGTAAGGTAGCAAGTATGTGCTCATATCTAGAAATTAATTTGTATCTAATCAGAAAATTTTGGTTTCAGTGGGCTCCTCCAGGAGAGAAAGCGTCCCGGCCCATGTGAACCTCTCTGCATCTGCCATGCTGATGATTGCAATGCAGTACACATCTAATCCAGGTAAGCAGAAACCAGACAGCTTAAGCAGCTCCAAAACTGTCCCGAGGTGACATCTAATGAACAAGACAGACCCTTTCACGTGAGAACTTCTCTAGCAGAAGAGATAAGCAGTGTGTTAAAAACGGACTTCTGAGTTAAAATGAGTGTTATCTATCGCTAGGAGTAGTGATTTGGTTTGCTAGGGAACATTTTAGAATGTTGAGGATGAAGTTTTAGATGCCTGGAAATTGATGACTATATAGAAAAAGTTTAATTAAAAATATAGAGCCAGCTGGTGGCAGCACATGCCTTTAATCCCAGCCCTTGAGAGGCAGAGGCAGAGGCAGGCAGATCTCTGTGAATTGGAGGCCAGCCTGGTCTACAGAGTGAGATCCAGGACAGCCAGGGCTATGCAACACAGTTAAACCCCGCCCCGTGTGGTGTGTGTGTGTGTGTGTGTGTGTGTGTGTGTGTGTGTGTGTGTGCACTAAGGCTGGTGTGGTGGCTCATGCCTATATTCTTAGCACTTGGGAAGATGAGGCAGGAGAATTGCCATTAGGTCTAGACTAGCCTGGGTTGTAGAGTGAGATGTTGTCTACACACACACACACACACACACACACACACACACACACACACAGAGACACACACACACACTGTGTGTTACATTTATTGACTCATATGCATGCATGCATATATATGTTGTATATATTTACTGCTCTATATTAACTGCTATTGGTAACTAAATTGATGATTTGGGTAAATTTGCTTTGCTAATGCCACAGAAATATCTCTGAAACTTGGTATCTTTTACCAAGTTTCAGGTTTCTCATAGGACAAATTAATGAAAAGGGATGCATGAATTAAAGGGTGAGAAGCATTTTAGTAGTTTTCTAATTGTGTGGGAGCAAACAGTTGCTTTGTGCTGACTTGTCATTTAGTATTAGCTTAAAAGTTGTATTCCAGTTGAGTCACTGGAGAATGATTGCCCACTTTGCTTTTGTGCCTGAGAGCGCTTGTGGTGATGGATGGGTTTGCCTGTGATGTACTTGGCTTGCATTTGTCTGGGTAACTACTGATTTATTTCGAGGGACTAACCTAAAAGGTAGCTCACTGTAGAAGTGACGTGTTAAGATATGAACTCTGCTTTTTACTTTCATGGAATGTTCGTTTGGGAAATGAGACAATTTTGTGATATTGTTTTTAGTCTATTTAAGTAGCATAATAATTGAGGTTTTTATTTGAAAATTTTTATTTAAGGAATAAACACAATACTTTATAAATTCTTTGAGAATTTCATAGTGGATTTTGTTCATATCCAGTAATGCATCTTAGTCGTAGAACCATCCCATGTGTGTAGTTTTGTTGTTGTCTTGTTGTTTGAGGCGGGTCCTTGCTGTATGGCCCTGGCTGACCCCTTGGGTAAGTCAATTCTCCATCTTCAGCCTCCCACGTCCCTGGAGTCCAGGCAGGTGCCTGCTTTTCTTCTCTGTTTTAGTTCTCTCAGGCTACTGTAAGAAGGCTCAAGACAACAAAGACTTGTTTCTTAAAGTTCTGGGAGGCAGGAAGCCTAAGACCATGGTCCTAGCAGATTCCCTGTCTTATGAAGGCTTGTTCCCTGATGCAGGGATGGCTGCGCTTGCACTGCCCCTTCCCTCAAACGAAGCAGGAATGGGTTCTCTAGAGCTTCTATTACAAAGTCCCTGGTCATATTTGTGAGGCTGCTGTCCCAGGACCTTAATGCCTCCTACAGACCCTGCCTCCCAAAGTCATCATGCTGGGATCTAACATGGATCTGTGTGAACATGGATAATTGATTTGTCAGTTTTCTACCCCATCTCTCTAATTTCATGCCCTTTTCCTGTCTGAAATATACTAATTCCATCTTGACAACCCTAAAAATATTATCAACTCAAACCTCTGAGGTCCAACAGCTCATAGAAATACCATCCAAATCCGTAGCTGTCAGATTTGAGGAATGGCTTATCCCAGAATGAAGTGCTCATTGGCTGTGACCATATGAAAGCAAATATGTTGTATGCTTCCAAAACATAACTGTGAGGGCTAGGGCTGCAGCTCACTGGTGGGATGCTTGCTTAGCACAGGGGCAGCTGAAGATCAAGTCCCTAAACAAAAGCAAACAGACAAATAAACATAAAATGCAGTGGTGTACCAGCCAGAGAGTGGACATCCCAACCCAAAGGGAGATTCAACATCAAACCATAGCCTTGCACTTAATATTCTTTGACTTGATGCCCTTCTTTCGAGGCCCACAGTGGTGGCAGTCCTATCTCCTCTGTTGCTTTGTGGGGTAAGGGTTTGACCCCAAGGCTTCTAGTGGTCCTGCCACCAAAGCTTTAGGCAGCCTGACCTCCATCAGTCCAGCAGGGGCTGTGGTGACTGTCCCTGTGTCTTCCACAACTCTACCCCCACTATCTGGGGTCCGGTGCCCATGGCTTTTCAGGGTATTCTTTGAATTCTAAGTGGAAGTATCCATGAACCCACAGCTTTCTTGCTGGTAGTGTACATACTCTGGTACCCCGAGAGCTTCATTTTGGCAGCTAAAGAATAAGGTAAAGTGTAGGACCTAGGTATAATCTGCAGTGTGAGGTCCCCAACTTGCTGGTGGCTCTTTGAAGCCCCTGTTGTCTAGACCTCTGGTGGAGGTGTGTTCTAAGTTGTCTTTGGGGGAGTCTTAGACCACAAGGTGACGGTTGACCATGTGTTTCCTGTCTCCCTGGTCAGTTACCCAGTGGTCTCCCCTCCCAGGCCTTCTTATCCTTTCAATGCAGACAGTCTGAGGAATTTCCAAACTTTCAATTGATTTCATCTTTGGTGAATAATTCTGATTGAAGTCATTTCTTTCTTCTGGAATTTCACTATAAATATTCAGAAAACAATAACAGAAACAGGCATAAAATCACAAACAGGTTTTAGCACTTCCCTAAGGATTTCCTCAGCCAGTCTCATGCCCCACAAACTCCACCTTCTGTAGAACTCCAAGATGTGAACATAATGTGACCAAGTTTGCCGTCACTTTATGACAAGGGTGGCCTTTCCTCCAGTTTGCAAATACATGTTTCCTGTTTCTGTCTGACACCTCATCAGTATTGCCTCCAACGTTGAGTTCTGCATACTTCCAGAAGAGTGGGGCTTCCCTGCTCTTCTTTCTCTTCCTAAGCCTTCACACAGTTGTCTTTAAAGGTTTGTTCATAGTAACGGTGCCTTTTCTAGAATGTACCTCAAGTGGCTTCCACATTTTCAGGCCTTTGTTCCAGTAGCGTCCCACATCTCGGCACCAGTTCTCTGCTTCGGCCTGTTTGGAGTCGCATTAGTTACTTGTCTCATTGCTGTGGCAGAGTATCCAACAGGAGCAACCCTAGGCGGAAAAGCGTTATTTTGACTTGTAGTTTAAGGGGTGCTGAGGTGGCAGGAATGTGAGGCAGCTGCCAGGTTGCACCCACAGTCAGGAAGCAGAGAGAGGGGCGGATGCTGGAGTTCCCATTGCTTTCTGCTCTTTATTCAGCGGAACTGCCCATCCCACGAGGTGGTGCCTCCCAGGGTCTCCCCCTCTCAGTTGAACAACTCGGCAACATCCTCAGAGACACAGCAGTGTGTCTCCTGGGTAGTTCTAATTCACACTCACTTGTTAGTCAAGATTAGCTGAGACAAATACTACGGCACCGTGGCTTGACTGTATTAAACTTTTATTTCTTATGGTTTCAGAGTCTGGGAAGTCCAAGTTTAAGGTTGCTGATAGATTTGCTAGTCTGGTAGGGAACCATTTCCTGGCTCATAGATGAATTTATTTGTTCTGTCCTTGCATAGCAGAAAGACAAGGAGATTTTTTTTGAATCCTTTAAAAACTAAGGGCACTGGGGGGAGGAGCGCATAGAGAGATGGCTCAGGAGTTAAGAGTGCATGCTTTTCTTACAGAGAACCCAAGTTCAATTCCCAGCACCCATGTTGGGCACCTCACAACTATCTCTAACTTCAGCTCCAGGATATCTAGTACCCTCCTCTGGCCTCTATAAGTACAGCGCTCATATGTTCAACCTCCCCCAACACATTTTAAATAATGATAATACAACCAGCACCACTAAAATGTTAAAGAGAAGGGCATGAACCCCACTCATGGGGCATCCACCTTCATGACCTAAGCACATCCTGAAGCCCCACCTCCCAATGATGTCTCTCTGGGGTTAGACTTTAACATGTGGATTTTGAGAGGTATATTCCGTCTACAACATTCTCAAGTGTAACACCTCTGTGATTATTATGTGAATTTAGCTGCAAAGTTCTTTTAGGGCAAGCTATAATCTCATATCTCACTATTTACCTTAAAAGACCATCAAAATATAATTCATACTTATATGTCCTGAGAAGATTCTTCATTTGGACACTAGTGAATTAAACTCTAGTCCTGAGGAGCGGGTCCTGATGTTGGGCAACACTAGGATGGAGTGGATATTTTGAGGCTAGATATTTGTGGAGTCTGGGGCTTCATCTCATGGTCTGAGTGGTGGGGTGGGGGGTAAGTCTTTATTCGGTGGCCTAATAATGAAGAAGAGAGGAGATGGTGCTCACACACAGCTTCTTAACCCCAGGAGAGTCGGGTTCCAGATGCGGGACAGGAGTGATGATGGATGGAAATGGGGTCATGAAAGGAGGAATATTCTTATCTTCCTGGGACAAGGCAGAGATTCCAGAACCCTCATAGACACTGCTTTTGTCATGGTCTGGTGGTTCCGGTCACAGGGGCTGGTGGATGTATTCAGTTTTGATGTGAGGAAAGAGAGACCAGGCAAGTCCAGGCCAGGTTAAATAACCCTGTATTATATTTCTGGACACAAGTTTCTTCACTGATCAACATACACATGTATAGAATCTTACCTAAAGAGTAAGGCAGGAGAGGAAATAGATAACATGAAGAGGGATGCCAGGCCTCTTCGCCTCTCCCTGTCACTCAGTAGACATGGGCAGGTCCAAGGGAAGAGTCAGTGGTTTAGCCAAACTGGCCTTCAAGTCTCTGAAAAGCATATAATTCACATGAAGAAGTGTCAGCTCCAGGAAAACAAACAAACAAACAAACAAACAAACAAACAGTGAGAAGCCAGCCGGCCTTCTTGGCTTTGTAGTCTCTGGATGAGAGCTGTTTAAAGCACAGGGGACAGAAGTTACCAGGTCTACTTCATTTTCCCCTCAGCATCACCACTGGAGAGATTTGTGATGATGCAGCTGTGATTTGACCCAGACAAACTGTCTAATACCTGAGCTGGCTCTGGGGGCTTTTGAGGGCATGTCAAAGGATTGAGTTTTTCCAAACTCATTTGCAAACGGCCAGTCAGTGCGAACCTGAACAAGCTCTTCTGCCTCAAGGTCAAATTTCTCACCCATAAAATGGGATAATTCTTCCAGCTATTCATAAAGTGTTGTTAAGATTAACAAGCTAAAAATCTGTGTGCACATACTTGCTTGGCCTTGGTGTTCCGACTGGCACATTATTAAGTGCTGGGTAAATATTGTGAATTGCTACAATTTGGCATTTTCTTCTTAGACTTGAATTGATGGAAAACTGTTGTGATCATACAAAAATCATCTCTGTTATTTTCAAATCTGTTTACGGGGTGATGTTTATAGTCAACTAACTATTCTATGTGGGGGAGTACATTTCTGACTCAAAACAAGTAACATGGGAAACAGTTAAGATGTGAGATAGTATCCATTAGGGTCGCTTTGGGATCAAAAGCATGCTGGTGTGTTCAAACTTTTAATGGTTTGACACTATGATGTTATTGCCATCTACAAAGCTCATCAAAGTTCACGTAGAATGGTTGCAATCAGTTCACAAAACAAACAAAACAACCCACCCCAACACCAGTCTTGTAATGTTTAAAGTAAGCTTTATCATTCTACTGTTGAAATTTTGGTGGAATGGAGCAGGGGTGGAGAAACAAAGATTATTGACTGGTTTTTGTAGCTGATTGTGTATCATAAATATCAGGGGCTGGAGAGATGGTTCAGTGGTTAAGAGCACGATCTTCCAGAGGACTCAAGTTCAGTGTTCATTTCCCACCCCACATCAGGGGTTCACAGTTGCCTATAACTCCAACTCCAAGGGCACATACGCACACACACACACACACACACACACACCTTGGAATCTCCCCAGCAGATTCTGTCACCAGAAATGTCCCATCGTCACTTGCAGCTCCAGCAGAGTCGGAGAACGGCTGTGTATTGGCAGGTATCTGGGAAGAAAGGGCACTTTGGTCAGCAGTGGAATATCAACAGTGGTGTCCACCGCAGGTGGCAGGAAGAGAAGGGTCATACGGTGTCATGAAGCCACAAGGAGAGAGATTTTAAAAATAGAGGGAAGTGCCAAATACTTCTGTAGTCAGGGAAAATTCAGATGAAACGTGTCCATGGGATCTGAAGGACACAGAGGTCACCGAAGCGTATGCATAGGATTTGAATGACACAGGTCACCGATTCCTGAACTTCAGTGTTAGGATGGAGCTGGAAGGTAGTTTATGAAAAGAACTGAACAACCGAACACTAATCTATCTAGGATGGATGTTTTCCCTTGCAAGGGAGCACAGGCAAACCAAAGAAACTTGCTGTTGTGCGGTTAAACTGGTCCCCTGTAAAAGACCCTGTCACAAAGACACCACACACTTTGGTCACAGGAAATGGAGAAATCAGGTTGATACTGACTGTGAGGCTTCCTATGTGGTAGCTTTTATAGTACTAGAGGGTGCTGTTGTAGGCTGCTGGGGTTAAAATAATCAGCGGTTTTAACCAGCTATGAACCCTGTGAACTACAATAATGGGCACAATATGCCCATGGGCGCAACAGTGGTACAGATATTATGGGGGCAGCCCGCTGTGTTTAGACTGCATTTAAGGCCCAAGACACAGGAGGAAATGGATGCCTGGTACTGTAAAGCAGGCTAATAACAATAAGTGGTTAGGGAACTCCCAGGCCCCAGGCTTGAATCTACTACTATTATTTTGCTAAGTGGACATACTGTCATATTACCCTAAAAATTCATCGTTTTATACCTATAGATCAGAGCAGCTCTTAGATACCAGGTTTGTGTGTGTGTGTGTGTGTGTGTGTGTGTGTGTGTGTGTGTGTGTTAGGTAATATAGAGACTCACAACTGGCCAACGTGCAGAGAACAAGTGTCAATGGAATGTTCAGCTACAAATGGACATCTGTAGCCTCCTCCCTCCCTCCCAAGGCTCGGGTACCATCATGGAAGAGGGACAGGAAAGAGTATAGGAGCGGTAGGCCAGGGAGGACGGGCTTGAAACTGTGTTCTGGACATGACAGGACTACTGCATTCATCAGCTCAAAGAAGATCAAGCCCGCTGTGCTGGAGACATGGCTCAGTAGGGGTGAATGTGGTCAAAATACACTGCAGAAAATTCTCAAAGGGTTAATAAAAACATTTTACGTAAAACAAATGAAAAGCCAAAATACAAATCTCCTATAACTGGGACTCAGTTCCAGCCAGTGAAATCTGCTGGGGGTTCCTGAGGTATACTCTTTCTTTACAATGAGAGGACACGACGGTTGAACAAATGGTAAAATTGTTGTTTTATCCAATTCAAGTGTCGCTGGTACTTTTTTCAACCCTGGGCATGATAGGAAAGTCGTCGTCAGTTTCCTAACTGTAGCCTGGTGTTTGTGAGGTAACGTGTGTGGAGGAGCATCTGACAAAGAATGAGTTCTCTCAGAAATGCGAGTTTGTTTGTGACCTCATTTGGTGAGGATTTACCCTCCCACGTAGTTCTTAGCTGTATCAGGCTAAGTCTATATTATATGAGTATAAATTACTAGAGACTTGTAATATTTCTTTTGTTAGTACAATTTGCAAAGTACTTCTGAATGGCTTTGGAATAAAGCTTGATAAAACTAAGGACTGATACGATTTCTAAAAGTGTGATAAGTACTTTCTAATTTAATGATCAAAGTGAAAATGAATACTGAAGTGATTTATTATTATATCTCCAAGGGTAATTTTCTGGTATTTACAATGTATTATAAGTTATATTTTCTTTCTTACAGTGTATCATTGTCAATTATTGGAATGCCTCATGAAATATAAACAAGAAGTCTGGAAAGTAAGTTTTGGATTAAGACTGACTCATATTCACTAACTTGATTTATATAAGTCATAACAATTACATATTATAACTTGTTTTGATCAAATTAATACCTGTCTTGTTATTTTGATGTGGTAAACCGGTACTTTATTTTTACTGGTAAAATTATCACTTAGAACAGAAATGAAACTTTAAGAACAGGGTGTCTTGTCAGAATAGTTGAATGTGTCTTATTCATTGAATTAGGCAAATATATTGCATGACAAATATGCTTTTAATTTGGAACTGCTTGAGAATTTGTCTTTTCTTTTTTTCAAATAGTAGCTATGAATTGCTAAGAAATGTGGTTAGGGAAACATTTTTTTAAAATTCAATGTTTGGTATGTGGGCATACACTGTTGTAAAAATCTTTTTTTATTTGAATCTCATTAGAGGGTTTAGTGGACAGTGCACTTTTGAACTCTCCTTGAGGGCATCATTTGCAGGACATATAAACAGGCTCATGAATAAATGATGAAGATGATATGCTAACGTAATTTAATCTGTGAAGTACACCTGGGTGATGGGATCCTGGGAAATGGCCCACCTCAAACTCTCTTTTAGAGTTGCTACTGCTTTGGAGGCATTGGGTGCTCCATCTTTATTTTCACTTGGTGTTGTGGAGTCAGAGTGTGTTCCTTCCTCCTGCAGGACCTTTTGTATGTGATTGCATATGGGCCTTCACAGGTGAAACCCCCCGCGGTGCAGATGCTTTTCCACTACTGGCCCAACCTGAAGCCTCCTGGGGCAATAAGCGAGTACAGGGGGCTGCAGTACACAGGTAAGAAGGAAAGAGCTCTGTGGTGGCCCGTGTTCATCTCACCTGAGCCTCCCATGCCTCGCCCTGGGTGAAAAAGGCCACACTAGACATGGTCACGAGTCCTTTCTGGCACTGGGTTTATAAAGAAGGCAATTAGCAGGTAGCCCAGGCTATAGGGGAGGCCGAGGCAGGAAATTCAGTGAGCCTGGGAATTTTGGGACCATCAGAGGCAACATAACAAGCTCCCATCTCTTAAGATAATCAGCAGTTGTGTGGTGGTGCAAACATGTGGTAATCCCAGCTGCTGGGAGGCCGAGAAAGGAAGATCAGAAGTTCAAAGTCAGGTTTGAAGTCATCGTGAACTCCAGGAGAACACGTTTCAAAACGAAACAACCCAAAGGAAAACAAGAAAAAAAAACCTCAAAAAAACAAAAACACCTTAATCATACCAATTAAAATATTTGTGACATCATAGCAGATTACCTCAACCCCTGTCTCAGTTGCTATCCAAAGGGATGCATCTTGCTCACTGCTAAGATTAATTATGACAAAACCACAAGAGACAGGAGCAAGACTGCAGATTCGCTATCATTTAGTAGAAGCCCCAGCTGCCTAATTCTGTTCTTGGCAATATTTCCAGTGTTACTAGAAGAGTTCCATCACAACAATGAAACAGTAACTTTAAACGCAACGACACAGTCAACCATGGCAGCCCACTCTTATGACCTCAGCACCCTGCAGGCAGAAGTAAAAATCTATGGAGTTCAAGGCCAGCCTGGGCCACATAGTGGGTTAAAAGCAGCTTGAGCTATATGAAACTCTTCTGACAGTATCTACCAAGAAACTTGTGAAAAAAGACTGATGGACACAAGGTTCTAGGTTGTGGCTTACGTATATCATAAAGTATGAGAAAAATCCCAGTAGCGAATGGAGTTTCTGATGTCCACACAACCTCCCCTCAACATCTGCTTTACATCGTGGAAGGCGGATTCCAAGCGGTATATATACTAGGATGACAAGTGGTAGCAATGTTAGTGCAGGGAAGGTGGACAGGGACTTCTCTAAAGTCTCTTTATTGATGTTTTGTATTGATAGTAGAGAGTGTTTCATTGTTGCTGGATGAATAATTTGAATGTAAAAAACCAGCAAATACTTGGCATGTCAATAGAGTAAGAAGTGAAATGGCGGAAATATTTGACCCTTTTCAGTTGGGTTCCTACGTAAGCGTCAAACCCCTCTGGTGATTGATACCAATGAGATTTATTTATATGATAAATATTTGATGAGAAGACTGTTCCATGTACTGTATTTTTGTTATTGATATGGAAACCAGCACAAAAGCAGACCTCATTAAATTGAATACAGACTAGATATAGAAATTCATTTTATTCAGCAAATATTCACGGGGTATCTAGATGTGGAAACTCATTTTATTCAGCAAATATTTATGGGGTGTCTGCCTGTTGGCCAGGCATTTCTCTGTGCACCAATGAGGAAAACAAAACATCTTGTAGTCATTAGCATCTTAGAGCTTCCACACTGGTTGTGGGGGAAATATTCAGAGATTGCCTTCTGGGGCTACTAGCGCTAAGGCAGAGCCAAGAGATCTGTGGGGATCATGGGAGGGCTCCCGGCTCATCCTGGTCACAGACCAGTCTGGGGGGAGACGCATTTGTTAAGGGAGGTTCTCCAGTGAGTTAAACTTCAGCTGGCAACTGAGGCAGTAACAAGTCCATAACTAGACACGAGGAAAACTGAGTGTGTAAACATGAGTGAGGTGGGTGGGTGCAACAGACACCGCTTGGTGGCGTTTAGCACCTGGGAAATTACAAGGCAGCTAGACAGTGAGTGAGGAGGCTAGTGGAAGGCTGGTTACTCCTGTGAAGGAGTTGGGGTTGTTCTCCAAAAGCAAAGGGGTTCCCTATGTAGGTTTTCATGAGACTTACTGTCCAAAGCATCCCACAATCTCAAACGCTGATGGTCATTTCCACTTATGGGGTAGCCAAAGCCTCTAGCAAGGACAAACCAGTGCATACTTACTAAAATCCATTCAGCATTTGCATGCTAAGAGCAGAGCAATCCTTTCTTGTTCTCTTGACTGGGGGCACCACTTGTCAATCTGTCCTTGTCGTCATGTGTTTGGTTTCCCTCTGTTCGCTGCTGGGTACCAAGTGCTTCTTGTAGCCCGGCACCATCGTCACTGATAAGTGGCTCTCTTAGAATTCTCACTCTAATAGACGATGAGGGGAGCAGAAAGCCATGGGGGAAAGGCATCATCTGTGTCACTGGGCATCTGGCATCTGTTGTTCTTACAGCTTAGTGCCTTGACATCCCCCTTCCATGTTAGTCTGCTGGTCTCCTCATTCCTGTCTTGTTTAGGCAGCTGCATTGTTGAGGTGTAGCTTCCCTGGCATTTCTAGGAGACACAATCTCACAGCAGATTTTGAGTCCTCTGTCTCTTACAAGCTTCCATCTCCTTCTTCTGAAATGTTCCTCGAGCCTTACGTGCAAGGATTGTATTATAGATGTTTTGGTTGAAGCTAGGTACCTCGTGATCACTTGTTCTCTGTATTTTACCAATTCTATGATGGGCCCATCTGTTGAAAAGAGAAGTTTCTTTGATGAGTGAGTGCTACACTTACCAGACCAAGAGGTTCCCTAACCTGTTTTTATTTTTAAAGTGTGTGTGTGTGTGTGTGTGTGTGTGTGTACGTGCACGCGTGGTGTGCATGTGAGCGCTTGGGTTTGCATGGATGGAGGCCAGACATCAGGGTCAGATGTACTCTTCTCCCACTCTTCGTTGTCTAAATTGGGTCGTTTCAGTGAATCTGGATGTCACTGTTCAGTGGCTGCCCAGCAATCCTGTCATATCTTTCTATTTCTACCTCTCGGTGCTGGGGTCACAGACACATGTAGCCATGCCTGACTTTTTACATGCTGCAGGGGATCTAAACTCGGCTCCTCCGGCTTATACAGCAAACTCTTTACTGAATGAGCTATCCACATCCCCAGCTGTTCCCCACATTTTATTATAAAAATTACAGAAGCTGGAGAGATGGCTCAGCAGTTAAGAGCACTGACTGGTCTTCTGGAGGATCTGGTTTCACATCCTAGGACCTACATGGCAGCTCACAACCACATTTTATTCCACTTCTAGTGGATCTGACACTCTCTTCTTGGTCTCTGCGGGCACCAGGAGCACATGTGGTACATAGCTGGACATTCAGGCAAAACACCCATGCAAATAAAATGAAATAAAACAAAAGAGAAATTATACAATGATTGTCTGGTTACAATGTGCCAAATAGGGCCGGGCGGTGGTGGCGCATGCCTTTAATCCCAGCACTCGGGAGGCAGAGGCAGGCGGATCTCTGTGAGTTCGAGGCTGGGCTGGACCGACAGCCTCCAAAACAATTCAGAGAAACCCTGTCTCGTAAAAACCAAAAAAAAAAAAAAAACCCACAAAAAAACAATGTGCCAAATAGTAAGTGACTTAGTAGGCTTTGTAGCAAAGAACACCACCATTGTCATTTACTTACCGTCTGACTATGGGACATGGGTGCAATGTATGGTCACACTTCTAGGCAGAACAGAGAGAATGGGAGGTATACAGTAAGGCTAAGGTTGGTCTGGGTTATTGGACATCTAACCCATGTTAGTGCACTTGGAGTTTTGAGATGTGTGTGTGAGAAGGTTGAGCCAGGCCTTTCTGTTGTGCTCTCCCCATCTTTAGGCTCTTTATTCTCTGCAATTATCTTGATTTTTGTATCTGCAGAACTAAAATGTGTCTTGTTGGTGCAATTGTACATATGCATGAAACCACAAATAAGTGTCTGTGGATCCTTTCTGCTATATGTTCTTTTAGTGATGGCCTCTCCCTCCTTTCAACATCAGAGGTTAGTTTTGCCTGAGTTTGCATTTTATAAGAGAGGAAGCATCATTACTTGTGTGTGTGTCTGTGTCTCTCTCTGTGTCTACACATGTGTGTGTATGTGTGTTATCTGTGTGTTGAGGATAACTGTTGTCTGTTCACTTTCATTGCTACACATTTTCCATAAAATTCGTGTACCTCAATTTTCATATCTTCTAGATGTTTCAGTTGTTTCTAATTTTTGGTTGTTGAAATAATGCTACTCAGAGAATATTTTGATATGTTTAATCTGAAATATATCCCTATGAATAAACCTGCTGAGTAAGAGGCATACGTGTATCCAATTTTAATAGATGATGATAAACAACTTCCTAGTTCAGTTATGCTAATTCACACTCTCATTAGGAGTGCATATTTATTGTAATAACTTCATTAAACAGTCTTTTGTGTATCATGTAATTATAGAAAAAATATATTTCCTTTCTAATCCACAAGACTTTTATGGATTCTTTTAAATGTATAATTTAACATCAGTCATATTAATTGTACAGAGAGCTTTCAGTATGACATTGATACATGTGCTTACAATGGCAAGTTTTGTTTTATTTACCAATGTATTACAGTTTTATTCAAAAAGTTATTGTCTTTGCTAATGTTCTATCGCCATGAAGAGACACCATGACCATAGTAACTCTTATAGTGGAAAACATTTAATTGAGACTGGCTAACAGTTCAGAGGTTTAGTCCATTGTCATAGCAGGAAGTGTGGCAGCAGGCAGGCAGACACAGTAGCTGAGAGTTCTACATCCAGATGGGCAGGCATCACGAGGAGAGACAGACACTGGGACTAACTTGAGCTTCTGAAACCTCAAAGCCCACTCCCAGTGACATAACTTCCTCCAAGGCCACACCTACTCCAACAAAGCCTTACTGCCTAGTCCCTATCAAGTATCACCATTCCCCTGATGAAAAAGCATTCAAATAAATGAGCCTCTGGGGGCCATTTCTGTTCAAATCACCACAGTTACTGTCTATGCCTAATGCTTAAAATGTTTCCCTATGAAGATTCCAATGATTCATCTTACATTAAAGCTTTAGTTGATTGTCTTCTACATGTGGATATCTGATTTCCCCAGCATCACTTGTTAAA